GTTTTAAATAGGTCATTCTGACTGGGGACAATGAATTTGAGAGGATCAAAAGTCAAAATAAAATCATTAGGAGGCTTTCACAGAGGTCCAGGGGAAAAATAAAAGTAAGCAAAGTAGAACAGAAGAACTGCCACTATGGTAAACCCATGTAATGTCCCTTGATGTTCGACAATTAACATGGCAATATGTTCTCAAAGGAATGACTAAATAGTTACTTCCTTCATGTGGGGCTGTGAGTACATTAAAAAAAAAAAAAGTTGATATGTCAAGTTATTCTATTTAAGTACTCAAATGTTACCAAGACGAAATTGATAAACTCATGCAACATTTTTTAGAGTGCAATCTGACAAAATCTATTAACACTAAAAATGCACATGCCCCTTGAGCTAACAATATACTGGTAGATATTTATCATTTGAATATATTCACAAATGTATGTCAGAATATATGCAGAGATGTTCATCATGGTTTGCTTATAACATCCCCATACTTGACACAGCATAAATACCTATTACGGGGAACGTGTTAAAAAAAAAACTTTTTAAAAATTGTACTCTGCTATTAAATAAAATGAGGAAAGCGCTTCAAGATGTACCGTGTGCTTGAATATTCTATGTATGTTAGAATACACACACACGATATTGTTATGGGTAAAATTTGTGTTATACAGAAAGAGACAGAGAAAGAGAGAAAATATTGATATAGGTAAACAATTTTTTTAAAAGATATATAAAAAATAAACAGTTAATATCCTTTGAAGAAGAATGGAGTGGTAAGGGGTAGAGGGATAATTTTATTTTCCTTTATATATCTTTATGAATTACTTAAAAAAAAAACCTTTGTATTTTACTTAAAAAAAAAAACGATATCACTTTGCGATAACAGAATAAACAAGAACATACTAATATATCAGTACTTGCTTTCTATTTTATGGAGTGTAGCTTCAACGATTCCCTTATACACACGCACACAACCGGAGAACACGCACACAAGCATGTATGTATGTGAAAGAAATATGTATGTGAATACTTTGTCAAATACAAAAACACAAAACAAATACCTCTGATCAGAACACAGGAGAGAGACCATCTTCAATCTAAACTGACCTTCAATACTAGAGTCAATGTTTCATTTGTGATTAACATAGTGCCTGCAAAGCTCTATTTGTAAAAGGTTTTCAACAATGTTTGATGGATCCTAGTTGTAAATGCTTCCAGGACCATTTTTTTTGTCCTAAAATAGACATGACCCGTTTCACTGTATACTAATGAAGCATCCTTCCATCTGCATTACCTGTGCAGTCCCTTAATGTTCAATGACAACTTTCATACAACTTTCATTTCATTTCTATTTCTAAGATATAAACTCTGATGACTCCTATGGAAATGTTTAACAGTAGATGCATACCACTTTTCTGTGACATAATTCATTTCAGTTATTTTATGCTGCAGGGGCTTATGCAACAAAAGTTACCCATAAATTCTTAAGAAAAGCTGTACATGTTGCTGATTTTTCCCCCTCTAAACTACATTATAATCAAATAGCTCTTTCAAAGGCAATTATTCTGCCTTTTCTTCAGTCACCTACCTACTCTGTGCTATAACTAAATCCCTGGAAATGTTACTCTGTTAGATGAGGGCTTTGTTTACACAGTTCACTATCTCTGCTTTAAACTATTTCTAACCTCAAGAATGTGAAATGTTTACCACAGCCACTATTTTTTCAGTTGTAAATGTATTTCTAAAGCAAGTATTCTAATTACCCATTATTGGGAAGTCACAGAATAGTTCCCTATTTTGCAAGTCAATTCAGGAGAAAAACAGAAAGCCCGGTTAAATCCAATTTAGGTGAGGTTAAGCACTGCAGGCCTAAACACACAGATAGAGCCAACCACTGACCCCTCCTGTGTCTGGTATTGTAATGTTAACAACAGCAAACAAAAGGACCAAGGGAAGGAGAATGAAGATTACCAGTCCCAACTAAAAGGAAGACAGTGGTTCTCTTTTCAAAGATCCACCTGGAGGGACACATACCACATACCAGGTCTAAAGGTTTTAGGTCACTCCAGGTAATTTGCATTTTACCACTCAACCAAGAAAGGGAGAAAAGCTTTATTACTAAAAAGTTTATTCTGGTACAACTTTATTACTAAAAGGCACTATCCTGGAACAAGGAAACCCTGGTGGCGTAGCGGTTAAGAGCTACAGCTGCTAACCAAAAGGTCAGCAGTTTGAATCCACCAGGTGCTCCTTGGAAACCTTATGGGGTAGCTGTACTCTGTCCTATAGGGTCGCTGTGAGTCGCAATCGACTGGACGGCAATGGGTATATATGTACCCTGGAACAAAAGCATATTAAGCTGTATAACCAAGCAACCAGTTGCAGTCGACTCTGACTCATAGCAACCCCCATGTGTGTCAGAGTAGAACTGTACTCTGGAGGGTTTTTAACTGTTGCTTTTTCAGAAGTAGATAGTAGTGTTAAGCTGTGATGCCCCTAAAAGACTGGATCTTAAATTGATGGAATGATTTCTGGCAATGGAGGGGTGGGGTGGGGTCGGTATGGAGAAAAGAAGTTCACAAGAAACAAAGCCTGAGGCTGGAAGATGGGATACTATAAATGAAGCTGATAACCTAGGGCGGTAATACAAGAGCCAATCAGACTGAAAGGAGCCCCAACCACAGGGAAGTGTGCATCTGCTGAAGGAAGTCCAGGTCACAGGTCTGGGCACCAGTAACAAATTACCTCAGAGAACTTAACTGATGCTAACGGCCAGTAAAAGGGATGAGACTGCCAGGTCACTGTTGTGCAAAGAAATCAAGTTTCCAGAAGCTCAAAGAGTTAGTAAATTCTCTTGGTAATTACCAATACACCAAAAGGAGCTTTTTGTAAGGCAGCACCAAGCCCCGTGGAATGCCTCTGAACTAGATTAAACCTCTAGACTAGTAATTAAACTAACTTTATATGGGAGAGATCTCTTGCTCAAACTTGAGCAATCCTGCTCATTTCAGGAAAGCAATTTTCACACAGAAGTGGAAACAAGAAACTTCTGAGCCTCAATTTCAGCTCAGATACCATCATTGGCAGCCTCTATTTACCTAGCTACAAAATCAAGATACTAATTACTTCTAAGCAGTGTTAAAGGGATTAAGCTTAAAAAATACTGTAAAGATGAAAAGCACTAAGTCCCAGTCTCATATCATTTGCAGGTAGTTTAACAGTCTCTGTTTCTGTATCAGCAAACAAGCTTCCCCATTTTATCCATCCAGACATTTCGATAATAGTCATTGCCACAGTTTCTATGTGCTTTTTACCAGACAGCCAGCTGAAACACTGCTTGGCATCTTGTCAAAATGACATGCTGCTACATAATGTTATAGACTGCAAGAGACCGAAAGTTTAGAAAAGATGATTCTTCTTCAAATTGATCAATGCTATGCTTCAGAATACTACTATTTGTTTCTTATAGCTGGGTAATACATTGGTAAATGAAATAGCTCTAGAAAATATTGCCACACTGCACAACCACAGACTGAGCATTTTAAGTGCCACTTTAAAAATAAGAATGTTTATTCCTAATACCACACATGCCTAAATATAAGGCAAGTTCTCCCTCCCTCAAAATTAACCCCAGAAAAGTGAGTGTCATGTTATATACATAGTTGCTCCTTACAAAGTCTCAGATCATGGGGTATTCTCCCAATCACTTGACCTTGAGAAGTACAAGTACAATTTGGGGAAGGCAGATTAGCCTAAAACAACCTCATTATTACTAACTCTAGATGTTTACAGAGGTCCCCTGAATAACTCAAGGTGAAAAGAAAAGGGAAAGAAAGTATTTCTGGAGCGGGATCTTACAAACGCAGTGCTGAATGTCAAAGGAGCCATTTAAAGTTTGTTCTAAAGAGCAATAAATGGTGAACTGTTACATCAGGATGAACTGGGAATAAGGGAAAAAACCAACAGTCCTAATGTATATGTCAGTGGGATCAAATTACCAGAGACAGCATTGTACATGAAGTCCAAAAGTGCTTCATCTTGTACAACTTGGACAATGAAGGTGACGTACTCTGCAAAGTTATGTTAATGGATGATTCAAAAAGGGGCTTAAGTGGTGATCAAGACACTGATTCAAAATTCATACGAAGAATTTGACTAAAATATTTCTTGATATGTGAGTATAGAAAGAAGCAATTGTAATTTTATATAATGTGATTGTATATATTTGTGTGTAAACAAATGAAAAATATTTTAAGTAGGGCTTTTTCCTCTACATCCTTAAATATTTATTTAATCAAGTTGGTCGTGAAACATTTTTTTTGAATCTTCTCATTGGAGAAATGGTGAACTGGAGACTTTATGTTTGATACAGCTTTGTAACTGGACATACATGCAGCCAATTCTAGAACATTCCAGTACAACGTTTTGGTAGAGGAATGTGAATAACAAATTTTAAGAATCCTATAAAAATTTACTTTTGTGACGATTCTGAAAGATGGTTATGATTCATAATAATTATGATAAAACCTATATATGGGAACCATGGACAGGGCTGGAATATATGGGATCAGAAAATAGGTATGGGCTTCTCCTTAAACTGAGCTCATTATAGCTCCTAAAAAGAAAGTGCCCTGTGATTCTTGTGTCTATCCTTCATGAAGTACAGCACTGTGAATGAGGTTTGTGGATCAACAACAAATCCAAAGAAAGCTTCAACCAACATTGCTGCAGAGGGCTGTGTGCTGAACAACTCTAGTGGGTGCCATTCACACCATAGTCACACTGGGTTTGTGTATTTATAAGGACAGTTTTCAGCAGATGGCAGGAAGTGGCATCTTTTTCTAATTGGCACGAGGGTGCCCTATGGGTTGCCAGTGGTGCAGCTCCAGCAGAACATCTCCTCTAGGTGTGGAAATGTAAGAAATAGATTTCATGCTGATGAACGGTTCCTAATTTAAGAGATGAGAATGTGATCAAATAAGTGACTCAAAAAAGAGTTACCTTGTAGATCCCAAAGAACCCCAGGTCTCGTACGACAGACAAAGCACTGACTCGAGGACCCGTGGTGATTTCTCCAGCCACTTGCAAACGAATCTTGACAATTTCTAAAGGATTGGTGAAAATCACCTGGGAGCCTCCTGCCTGAAAAATAGAAAAAGAAAATATTTAGGATCAAAGAGTCTGAAGGGACAGTAAGTACAGGGTAATGGTAAGTAAGGGGAGTCAGGAAGAGGTAAGTGGTTTTTCTCAAGGAAGCTCAGAATATTCTGTCCTCAGGAGACTGTAGTTTCATTCCTTGTCCCATCATTTAAAACAGTGATTCTGAGTTTGAACCATAACACAGTTACTGCCTCTGATGCCTTGGGTAAAGAGGCCCACCTTCTTAACATGGAGGCTGAAGGAGGGTAAGGATCAGAGACAGATTTCTGCAGGACTCAGAGTCTTCACACCAAAATGACAAACCATGCACCATAAGCAACTGCTACCATGGGGCTCAAAGCCAAGGGCACAAATAGACAGCAATAAAATGAAACGAACAATTAGAATCCAAATAGAGAGAAGTGGATCTGCCTCTCTGAATAGGAGGGGGGCAAGAAGGATAAAGACTCTCACATGATGGATTTCTTTCTGGCAATGGTTGAAAAATTGCCAGAGAACACGTAAACTTACTTGAAAGCAATTTTTCTTCTCTTGAAAAATCAGGTCAATCATCAAATACCATTTTATGGAGTTACATATTCTTATAATTTTATTTATATATTACCTGGGTATACAATTGCTCTTCTCATATAAGATAAAAGGTATGGTAGAGTAGGAAAAATATGCATTAAATCAATTATGGCCCAAACTTTGAACAACTTGTGTTATTTCATTCCAGCAGTGGCTGACTGCCACACCTCCGAGATCATCAGTGAAAATCTTTAAAGTGCACTATAAGGGAAATTTTAAGCTAGCTATTTTGAAGCTAAGCCTATATTTATGATAAGCAATTACATTCTTTCTGACTCTACTTCAACTTGTTATTCCTTGTCACAAATATACGAACTTTTTGTATACAAACTAAGGTTAACATGCAGTGTAGTTCAGAATATTTATCATGCAATCATGTCACCAAAGCCAGACCACAGACATAGTGCTTACATTTTACAGCTCAGTAGATGACACCATGGTAACAGGCACATTCTGGGTCAACATCATACAAAACTACTACTTGCTAGATTCCCTGATCCCATTTATCAATGTATGTGCCCTCACAAAATGGCCTTTACTAATCAAAATTAGCTACAAGGATTTTCTTTGCAGTATTGTTCATAAAAACTGAAAAAAAAAATTAGAAACAATCTAAATGTCCAATTGTACGGGAAAGATTAAATAACTTTGAGTGTGTTCATACAATGATACTACGCAGGCAATAAAATATTGTGGGAAAATATTTAATATATACTATTAAATAAAAATCCTAATATTTAAAAAATATATGCACACCTTTTCCCTACCCCCTACTCCCACATAAAATAGATATACCGAAGTGGTGCTTTTGAGGGAGTGGGATTACAATTTTTTTCTTTTTTTTTTTTTTTTGCTATACATTTTTTATTTCTTCTATAAAGAGAAAATACTTTTGCATAACTTACCTAATATACATAACAATGTTAACAGAAAATGCAAAAAGAGAAAAAATGTCTATCTACTAACTCTCCAAATCAAATTGTTTTTCCATTTTTACAAACCTAATATCTTAAATAAAGACACACTTGTTCTTAAAAACATACAAGGACTCTCCCCCTCTCCACACATTAAAACTGCTAAGGGAACAATAGTAGTCTCTGGCCTGCCACAGACTCTCTCTCCTTGTCTGTTCCACCATGCTTTGCCCATCACCTTCTCCTAGACAACTCTATCAAGACAGGCTGAACCATGTGGCCTGGGGTTCACTGAAAGGCCCAGGAAAAGGCCCTTTTGAAGTAGGAGGTACAGCACAAACCATATGCAGAGGGTGGAAGTGTGTTCTTCTGATCCATATGAAGGTATTTTGCTCCCACTGTTCTACTGCTCAAAACAGCCACAAGGAACCCGTGTACAGCTGCTGCAACCTGCAGGTACATGGGAAGAGCAACCCCCCTGCCTGCCTATAGCACTTGCGCTTTTTGTGGGTTTGCACATACTTCTTTCCCACAGGGAGTTCTTTAAGGTTGGCAGAATACAGAGATGTAACACACACACAACTGTGCCTGGGGCACAATCAGGTTTAGAAAACAGGTCATCTGTGCACTTGTGGACCAGAACTCTCTTCATATGGAAATGAAAACAGGACAGAGTTACAAAAATGAATAAAAATTCAAAATTTAAAAATCATTTTATGTGGCAGAACTGCTGAGAGTCACTGAGTTGAATCTGCCCGAGGCTGATTTATTCTTTTCCCATACAAAAATTTATACATACATTGTTATGTGACCCTAATTGCTCTCCCCATACTGTGACAGCACAATCCTCCTTTCCACCTGATTCCCCATGTCCATTCAACCAGCTCCTAACCCTCTCTGCCTTCCCATCTCACCTCCGGACAGAAGCTGCCCATTTAGTCTCTTGTATCTACTTAAGCTAAGAGGCACACTCTTCAGAAGTATCATTTTATGTCCCACAGTCCAGTCCAATCTCTGTCTGAAGAGATGGAGTTAGAAACTGTTTTAGTTCTGGGCTGATAGAGAATCCAGGGGCCATGCTTTCCGGGTTCCTCCAGTCTCAGTCAGAACATTAAGTCTGGTCTTTTTATTAGAATTTGAGTTCTGTACCCCACCCTTCCCCTGCTCCATCAAGGACTCTCTGTTATGTTCCCTGTCGGGGCGGTCATTGGTGGTAGCCAGGCACCATCTAGTTCTTCTGGTCTCAGGTCGATGAAGTCTCTGGTTTATGTGGCCCTTTCTGTCTCTTGGGCTAATACTTTCCTTTTGTCTTTGGTGTTCTTCATTCTCCTTTACTGCATGTGGTTGGGACCAATTGATACATCTTAGATGGCCACCTGAAAGCTTTTAAGACCCCAGCGCCGAGGCTAATTTTAAAAAGCTCAAAAGTTGGTAAGACCATCTCCACCAAGGAAAAATGGGAAATAATCAACAGACACCAATCTTCTTGAAGAATAGGAGAGATACTCAGTGTCATACTTATCCAAGTACTGCCAATAGTGGGTAAGAAAACAGCTGAATATTGCACATAATGACCAAACCTTAGTCCCCTTATTTTAAAATCACCTCTCTTATTATGAGGATCAAAGAGATGGGGAACGTAAAGCAATCAACACCGTGCTCAAGACAGTAGTTAATCCAAATATGTTGGTTTATATCCCTCTTCTCCAAAATTGGTGGTTTTTCTCCCTAGCTGCACATTAGAATCACTGGTAGAACTTTTTAGAAGTCATGATGCGTGTTCCCACTCTACACAAATTAAATCAGAATTTCCGTGTCTATCCTTTTTAAAAAATTTCCTATGTAATTATAAAGTGCAGTCAGGGTTGAGGGCTATTTCACTAAATCACCTCTGGGTTCCCTCTGAATTCTGAGAGTATGCTCACATAAGTTTACTTAAAGTTGTGATTTCTAATCCCAGTTTTCCAGATTATTTCAGAGAGTAACTATGAGCTACCTTTTTTTTTTTCTTTTTTTTTTATATTTTATTGTACTTCAGGTGAAGGCTTACAGAACAAATAGTTTCTCATGAAACAGTAGTAAACATGTTGTTTTATGACATTGGTTAACAACCCCACAACATATTAACCCTCTAATTTCTCAACCTTTTTTTTTTTTGGTGAAAATACACATAGCCAAAGTGAGCTAGCTACCTTTTACATGATTTACATGGGATCTTACGACAAACTTTTTACACCAAGTGGTACCATTATTAAATGGTGTAATTCTTAGGCACAGAACCACTGTGTTATTGATTACATCAGATCGTTAATACCTATAAACGTTTTTAATATTTTATGCAATAAAATGAGAATTTATAATGAACTTCCTCCACGTCAATCAATCGATAACAATTCTTTTAGCATAGCAAAGTGAGATCCAATCACCAAGGATGATGCAAAGAGTCAAATCCACTTCAGAGAGAACAGCAGGAAACAGAAGCATTGGGAAGAAAGAGAGTAGTGATACCAGGAAAAAATAATGATGTACCTGTTTTCCTCTGGTGGGCTCAGAAAGAAAGAACTTACAGATTCAAAGTGGCACATTGTGGAGATGCAGAGGATGAATCTGGTCCTTTGGAGTCAAGCTGCAAGGCAACGAGACTCCAAGGCACCAAGGGAAGATGCTTATCATCAGACACACAGTGTCTGGGCATCACCAAGACTTGATCGCTGAGCAGCAACTACCTGCTGCTCTTCTGCCTCCTGGTCTATTGTCTATTCACAGTATCTCACACATGTTCCTCCTTTGCAAAGATCAAAGACAGCCGAACTGGTAGACAAACGGACAGACACACCTATTGTGTGCAATGTCTTTGTGTCCCTCATCACTTGAAGAGGGCTCTAGCTGTGTGAAGATATTGTATTTTTTTTTTTTTTTTTGAGTGTGTGTGTGTGCAATTTTGTCACAAATCATTTCCCTATGTCTTCCTGGAGTCTGTGGCAAGCAGGACAGGAAAAGATTTTCCATACTAGAATTGGCTCAGTGTGGCATCTTGTTTTTACAATGAGGACACTGACTTCTCTACAGGTTTTTCTGGTATATTTTTTGTTGTTAGATCTTAGTTACTACTAATAACTGGATCCATCTAAAGAGACACACACACCTATTAGAGATGCACTGTTGCTACTTTATCACCTGTTCATTTATTTATTCAGCAAATATTTATAAGCAATCATGTTCAGAGTTTGGAAGTGCAAGAACACTGTATGAGTGAGATAGCATTCCTATTCTCAAGGAGCTTGAAGTAGGGGATCCCAAAACCCATTGCCCTCAAGTTGATTCCGACTCATAGCCATTCTGTAGATCACAGCAGAACTGCCCCATAGGGTTTCCAAGGCTTTAATCTCTACAGAAGCTGACTGCTACCTCTTTCTCCTGCGGAGTGGCTGGAGGGCTCAAATCACTGACCTTATGGTTAGCAGCGAGAGCTTAACCACTGTACCACCAGAGCTCCTG